GCCTCTCAGGACGTCACCTTTGACGAGTCGGTCCCTTTTTACCGTCTCTTCCCCTACCGCACTGCCCCCCTCCCTCCCCCGCCGCTTTTCCTCGCTCCTGGTCCCCCTCCGGTAGACCCCCTTCCCCCTCAGGGTCCTGCTCCTTCAGGTGTCTCTCAGGTAGACCCTCCTCCCGTCGCTGAGCCTGTCGAGGTCACAGGTGACTCAGGTGCTGCTGCAGGTGGTGCTGCTGGGAGTGCTGAGCCTGGGGGTGCTGAGCCTGCGGGTGCTGGGCCTGGGGGTGCTGCGGCTGCGGGTGCTGGGACTGAGGGTGCTGGAGCTGAGGGTACTGTGCCTGAGAGTTCGGAGCCTGGGGGTGCTGAGCCTGGGGGTGCTGCGACTGGGGGTGCTGAGCCTGCGTGTACGGAGTCTGGGGGTGCTGAGCCTGGGGGTGCTGCGCCTGGGGGCACTGAGCCTGGGGGTACTGCGACTGAGCCTACGGGGCCTGGGGTGCTACGTCTGGGGGTGCTCCGGTTCGGGGTGCTGAGCAGTCTCTCACACCGCAGCAGCTTCGTGACTGGTACGTCCGGCGCTTTTGCCGTCCTCGTGGCCCTGCTGGAGTTGGAGGTTCTGGAGCTGCTCGTCCTGGAGGTGCTCGTACTAGAGGTACTGGAGCTGCCGGGACTGGCTGTTCTGGGAGCACTGAGGCTGGAGCTGCTGGAGCTGGGGACTCTGGAGCTGGCGGTGCCAGCGGAGTTGGAGCTACCGGCTCTGGGGGTGCTCTTCCTGGCGGTACTGGAGCTGCTGGAGCTGACGACACTGGAGCTGACGGTTCTGGACACGGTGGTCCTGCTGGTTCTGGAGGTGCTGGCGAGGGGAGGTCTGTCGCTGCTGGGGCCTCTGGTGCTGACGTCGCCGACTCTGGGGGTGCTGCGGCGGAGGGTGCTGGTCCTGGTGCTTCTGGTGCTGCGGGTGCTGGAGGTGCTGGCGGAGCTCCGCCGTCGCGCCTGTTCTTCGCTCCTCCGTCACCGTCGGCTTTGCCACCGCCTGACACGGTGCTTCGCCAGGTTCTTTCCCTCCCGTCTTCCACTGGCCTTCCCCTCCAGCCTGGCTCCCCCCTCCCTGCTCCTGTACCTTACACTGCACTGCCGGACTCGCTTACGGAGCGTCGTGAGCCTGTGTCTCGTCCTGCCTCGCCTGTTCGTGCTACTCGCACTGCTCGCACTGCGCGCACTGGTCCCACTGGTCGTCGTGTCGCGCGTCCGCGTCCTCCTCCTGTTCCTGGCACGCATATTATGGCCCTTCGTCCTTCCACTGGTCCACAGCGTGTCCCCCTACCGTCTCCTCCTGCGTCTTCTCTTCCTGACGTTCCCGACCCTGAGTCTGACAGTGTTCGTGCTGCCCACCCTACTGTTACGCGTCTTCTCGCCACTGTTGTCACTGACCCGTCGTTTGAGTCTTCTGCTGCGTCTGCCCTGGTCGCTGAGCTTGTCGACTTTGCTGCTGCATGTCGCCTAGACTACGCCGCCAGTCTTGTTGCTGAGTCTGAGTCTGTCTGTCCTCCGTCCGTCGGGGGTGTGCTCTTGGCACGGACGTCCTTGAGGACAGGCAGGAGGACTTTGACTCTCTTGCGGCTGCTGTACCTCATCTCGTGGCCTGGTTGCTTGCCCCTGAGGGAGACCCGGATGCACTAGACATCCCCACTCCGCGCTCTTACGCAGAGGCGATCTCGGGTCCCTACTCCTCTCAGTGGCAGACAGCCATGGACGCAGAGATGGCATCCTGGAAGTCCACAGGCACCTACGTCGACGAGGTTCCCCCTCCTGGGGCGAACATCGTCGATGGCATGTGGATTTTCAGGGTGAAGCGGCCGCCGGGTTCTCCGCCTGTCTTCAAGGCTCGTTACGTTGCTAGAGGCTTCAGTCAGCGCCAGGGGGTTGACTTCTTCCAGACCTTCTCCCCCACCCCGAAGATGACCACTCTTCGGGTTCTGCTGCACGTTGCTGCTCAGCGTGACTACGAGCTTCACTCTCTTGACTTCAGCACAGCTTTCCTGCAGGGCAGCCTGCACGAGGAGATCTGGCTGCGCCGCCCACCTGGCTTTACTGGGTCGTTTCCTCCTGGTACCCAGTGGAGCCTCCGCCGGCCAGTCTACGGTCTCCGCCAGGCGCCACGTGAGTGGCACGACACACTGAGGACTACACTTGCGGCCCTTGGGTTCGCGCCGTCTACTGCTGACCCGTCGCTGTTTCTGCGCACAGACACGTCGCTGCCGCCGTTCTACATTCTCGTGTACGTCGACGACTTGGTCTTTGCTACTGCTGACACTGAGGCACTCGCTCGTGTGAAGTCGGAGCTGCAGAAGAGACACACCTGCACTGACCTGGGTGAGCTGCGTAGCTACCTTGGCTTGCAGATCACCCGGGACAGAGCACGCCGCACCATTACCCTGACTCAGTCACACATGGTGCAGCAGGTCCTTCAGCGCTTCGGCTTCCAGTTCTCCTCACCACAGGCCACACCTCTGGCTACCAGCCACTCGCTCTCAGCTCCACCTTCGGACGAGTCCGTAGAGCCGAGTGGCCCGTACCCAGAGCTTGTAGGCTGCCTCATGTACCTGATGACTTGCACGCGACCTGACCTTGCGTACCCTCTTAGCATCCTTGCTCGTTACGTTGCGCCTGGGAGACACAGGCGAGAGCACTGGGAGGCTGCTAAGAGGGTGCTGCGTTACTTGTGCAGTACATCAGGCATGGGGCTGGTGCTTGGAGGACGCGACAGAGTTGTCCTCACTGGTCACTCGGACGCTTCTTGGGTGGACGACTTGGCTACGCAGCGGTCGTCGCAGGGTTACACCTTCAGCCTTGGCTCTGGTTCTGTCTCGTGGCGGTCCACCCGCTCTTCTTCTGTTCTCAGCTCTAGTTGTGAGGCTGAGATCTACGCCACGGCCATGGCTGCACAGGAGTTACGCTGGCTCACCTACCTGCTGACTGACTTGGGAGAGCGGCCTAGTTCTCCTCCAGTTCTGTACGGCGACAACAAGGCGGCCCTTGCCTTGTGTCAGGAGCACAGACTGGAGCACAGGACGAAGCACATTGCTCTTCGCTACTTTCTTGCTCGAGAGCTGCAGCAGCGAGGTCAGCTTCGGCTTGTGTACGTGGACTCGAAGGCCAACACTGCTGATATCTTCACCAAGGCGCTCCCGCCTAGTGATCATCAGCGGCACTGTACTTCTTTAGGCCTTGTGTCCACATTCCCTCATTTGCTTACTGCTTGACTTTCTTTGTACTGTACTTTATATATATCTTTTTGCTTGCTTGCTAGGTTTTGATCACTGTGTTGCTTGTCTTGTACTATATCTAGCACTGCATGTGAACTGGCCTTGTGGCCTTTGCTTGTGCTCGGAGTGTGGTGACGTTGTGATCCACCCTGGGCTTGCTTTGCTTTGCTGGACTGGTCTTGTGACCCTTTGTTCTCCCCCACTTTGCCTATGGGGGTGTGTTAAACTGTTATATGTTGGTAGGCTGTAGTGGGGTAGCCAGTATGGGGTACAACCCCAACTAGGGTTAGCTACTTGTACCCAACTCTCCATTCAATGCACCATTCTCATGCTAGTATTCTGATATGTTCGTCCAGCGAGGAGGGTGGGTGAGCTCTTGTTTATGGTACAGGAGATCCCGAATAGCCGCTAAGGACGGGAATCCGTCGTCGAGCAAGGGGAGGCGGGCAGCGAGACCAGCGCCGGAGCAAAAAGATCCCCCGAGCCATCTGTCGAAGACGTGAACAGGGACGGTGTCAAGAGGAGACAAAAGTCTGCGCGCCGTGGCTTCCTTAGCAATTCGGCCTGTACAGTCCACACAAAACATGTTAGCAAAAAAGGTCCCATCCGATTGGGGGTCGATCACCTCAAAGACAGTGTTGGGAGGAGAGAACATATCGGCTGCGAGCATGACCCAGTCGCCTGCGTAGACAGGGACCAGGGTGTGAGAGGATGCCAGAGCTGCCCACCATTCCCTGGGCAGTGCATCGTAGACTTCGTTGATGATCCTGCGACTGCAAGGGTGAGTGCTGGGGGGGAATTGGGCCATGATTTCTGCATTGGTAAGCCGCCGAGCGCCAGAGGCGTCGCGTCGAACAAGGTGACCGACCCGTACTTCCTTGGCGAGTAAGAAGCCCTCCTCTTTGAGTCGTCCAAACGGCCGACCGTCTGCTTTGACAATGAACCGATTAAACGGCACGGGCTCTGCCAGAAGACACCAGAACTCCTGACGTGGGGAGGAGACCTCAAGCGACGCTTCCAGCAGACAGCTGACCTCCTCACGCACACGAATGGGAGTGGAAGGGGGAATGGCACGGACAAAGTCCGGATGTGCGAGAAAGCTATGAAGGCCGAAGGGAATGGGAACACACGTCCTGGCCACAGAAGCGTCAGGGAGAAAAGAGAGACGGCGCAAGGCACGTTGAATGTTGAGGGCCTTGATCTGAATGGAAGGCCGGATTGCCCCCAGCCCGCCATGCTCGGGTTTGTTGTAGAGAACCGTGTGCGTGAGAAGCCGAGTGGTGCGTCCTGCAGAGACATACTTGGAAGCAGACAGGAAGTTACCAACGGTATCATCCAGAGCCTTGGTGGTGTGAGACGGGGGGGGCTGGAAGCGGGCGGGGAAGGTGAGGGTTGAATTCAGATTTTCCGAGGCCAGCAACTTACGGCAAGAGGAGGTGGCATGGAGATGGGAAAGGAGATTGGCAGAGCGCTTAATCTTAGAGAGAGCGAGGTTCCACGTGACGTCCGTCTGTCTGGAGCTGCCGACAAAAATGCCTAGAATCCTCTCGAACTCCGACACCTGCCGGATAGGGATGTCTCCTGCGCGGGTGATGGATGCGGGGTCAACATTAAATGGGATAAGAGAGCACTTAGCCCAATTAGGGTGTTCTCCTGAGACTGAGGCGAAGGAGAGGAGAGCATGAGAGGCAAGGCGCAATTCCTCGTCAGAGTTAAGGAAGATGGTGACGTCGTCGGCATATCAAGCCATCAAGCGTCGCTGCGTGGGGGAGAAAGGTAAGCCGGGAAGGAAACCAGAGGTATAGCGATGGAACACTTCCACCACACAGAGGAAGAGGAGCGGGGCCAGCGGGCAGCCCTGACGGACCCCGGTTAGCACAGGGATAGGAGGGCCACACATATTATTGACCAAAATGCAAGTGGATGTGCCGGAATACATGAGTCTCACCCATTGTATGAAAGGGGGGGGCAGGCCGAGATGCGCAAGACAGGAGAACAGGAACTCGCGATCAACCATGTCATAGGCTTTGCGGATATCGACTGTGAGAGCGAGGAGAGGGAGGGAATGAGTAGTGGCCCAGTCGAAGATGTCCAGAGTGTCATTCAGCGTGTCTCCGATCTTCCGGGACTTGATGAAAGCGGTCTGCGAATGATGGATGAGGCCAGGGAGAAGGGGCTGCAGCCTGTTAGCTAAACAGATCGCCAGGATCTTGTAATCCGAGTTCATGAGCGTGATAGGCCGAAGGTTATCAACCACCGAGGCATCACTACGCTTGGGAATAAGCACGGTTCGTCCCTGGAGCATTGAGGGGGGGAGGTGATCATGAGAGCCAAGCAGCAGAGAATGAATGGCCGGGGCGAATTGAGGGCGAAAGGACCGAAACAGTTCACCAGGAAGGCCGTCCGGACCAGGGGTTTTGCCCTTGGGGAGAGAAGCGATGGCCTTAGAGACCTCTGCAAGGGAAAATGGGAGAGAGAGCCGAGAAAAAACAGGCTGAGGAAGTTGCGAAGCAGGGATGCGGGTCCAAAAGGAAGGGTCTGTCAACACAGTCTGAGAACCGCTGTAGAGTTTTCGGAAAAAGGCGGTACAGAGAGAGGTCATGCCGGGGAGATCAGAGATGAGTTCCCCGGTTGAGGCCTTCAGGGAGGGGATCAGAGAGGCTTTGATACGGCGATTAACGCCTACCATGAGGGAGGAGACTCCCATCTCCCGCGGGCCTTCGACTTTGAGCTTGGACTTAAGAGCCAGCTCCGCAGATCGACTGGCCTCGTACCGTTCGAAGTGAAGGGCGGCAACACGAAGCCGCTCTTTAGCCACCACATCTGTAGGGTTAATCGCCAGATGGATCCGAAGCTGACACGTAAGATTCTGCAGGTGGGACCTGGTTTTTCGGATTCGGATTTTCTCCTGCCCAGCGAAGACCTTAAGTTGTCTGCATAGCCCGGATTTCCAGACGTCCCAATCTGTGGCTGAGGGAGAAGGAGGAAGCGATCGGCAAGCAGAAGCAACAAACTGAGAAATTTGCGGTCGCTTGAGGATATCCTGCGGCAAACGCCAGGGCCGCGGGGCGATATTTGGGCTGTTGCACTGAAGCACACTGTACGGCGAAAGATCATGATCAGACACATCGCTGGAGACAGAAACATAATCGGCGTCAAGCAATCGTGAAGCCAGAGAAGCAGAAATATAAATCCGATCTAGCCGCGATGCAGACGGCGGTGAGTCACCTTGATCTGCCCTTGGAATTGCGAAAAAGGAAAACATAGTAGCTGTGGGATAGATTTTCCTGAAAGAATCGACTAACCGGTGATTGTCCAAGATGGTTGAGAGGATAGTTCCCTCCGACACTTCGTGACTGAGTAAGGGACGGTTCCTGTCAGAGGGAGCACAGACTGCGTTAAAGTCGCCTGCAAGCACAGTGCCGGACGCAGCGGTAGTAGCGTCGAGAGCAGGCGCGAAGATTGCCCGCCACCATTGACGCCTTAGAGTAGTGGTGCAGGGAGCGTAGGCAGCGATGAGTCGGAACTGCTCCTGCAGAAAGTTGATGTGAACAGTGAGCAGCCGCCCGTCAAGCGAGGGTTCGATAGAAGAGATGCTTATGTTCTTGTTAAAAACTAAGATGGCAATACCACCAGGTTTAGCACGGTCAGTGAAGGGGGGGGGACATTGCGCATGAGAGGAAGGTTTGAACGACAAAAGAAGACGAGGGAAATTAAGCGTAAGCCGAGTATCAATCAGAACCAGAATATCAGTTTTCCTTTCACATTCAGAGACCCATGAACGTAAATCATACATTTTTTGCTGCTTATTAAGGCCGTTGACATAAATGCACCTGATGGTTAGAGGGACTAACATTGAGAACTGACGAAGGCCCCCACATGCTGACGCATGTGCATCCACGGGGCAAGAGATGGGCCAAAGAAAGAGATCACTGAGCAGGCAAGGAGCCCCACCAGTGCAAGTACACTCTTTTGCAAGGGATGCAACGTGGGAGAACGGCAAGAGAGCAGGCTGCACAGCAGCTGCACTAGGTGGCAGACTACTCTAGCACAAGCAAGAGCCCGGCCGAGAAGGAAGGCGTCTACAGCAGGAACGCAGCGATGCGCGGGTGCTGCAGGAGAGTGGTGGCCCTCCAGGCACCATACTTGTCCTTTGTGGCAGGCAGGTGAGCAGACTCCTGCAGATGCTTGCGGTGGAGCTCGGAATTGAGGTGGTGCATGGCGCTGTCCAGCGCCAAACCACACTCGAACTCGCACATGGAGCACGACCAGACCTCCACGTCCAGGTCGACCCCAATCTGGAGGAGGCCAGGGTCCTTCTTGAAGGCAACCGGGGCCGGGTGCTGTCCAATCAAACGCCCTGAATGGGGAAGGACGAATAAAGATAGCACGAAGAAGCAGGAGGGGAAAGATCTCGTGGCCCAGGGGCCGGCAGGGAGAGTAACAGAGGACACCGAGCCACTGAAAGGAGAGACCACGGAAGCAGCAGCCATCGGTAAAAGACAATACCATAGGCGAGGGAGGCAGGAAGGGAAGGAAACGATCTATTGAGACCAAACAGCACAGCCAACAGGGGAGTCTCATACCGTTAACAGCCTGAAGCTGTGCCACCGAGATGGTGTGGCGGTTCGGAAGTCGCGCGCGACGGGTGAGGGCGAAGCACGCGTGGTCAGCCACTTGGTGGTTGCTGGTGCATACAGTGCATGAATGGGACGATATGTTGAGAAGCACAGGATCCTCCTGCTGGGGGAGCCAGAGGACCGCCGGGATGCGGTCAAAGCCAGCGTCGCCCTCCGCCGCAACGGGAAGGCCAAGCAGCTGAGAATACGCAGACTCGTCGTACGGGTCCTTGAGGCGGTGGAAAAGGCGGAGGTCGGCCAGCCAGGGCAAGCTGGAGTCAGTCCTGCCCGCCAGGAGGGTGCTGTGGAGGCGCTCAGGAGAATACCCGAGAGGCACGTTACGGAGGACCAGGTGGGTATCACCCCTGGCGCGGGCGGTCGTGAACTCTTCGTTGGGATCAGTGAAAGCCTTTACTTCCATAGCACGGTTGTTAGACAGACGAACGGTAATCGGAAACAAACTGCGGAAAATACGGGCATCGTTGGCTGAGGGCCAGGAGTAAGAGTGCCTGGAATAGGTGCGGCGCGGAAGCCGCAGGGCCTCACCAGGAGCGGCTTCGAACGAAGGAATGACACCGTTAAAGGCCTGACCGTTGATGAGAGAGGAAATACGCGCGAGAACAGCGGCGCGAACCTCCTCCGCCGAGGACTCAGGAAAGATGATGTCGACCAGCGACTGCGTGTTGCGAGTCATCGCCTGCAGGACCGTTCCAACCGTCGTACGGTGGCGGCGAAGATTCCGATAGCGTGCGTTGGGAGCCAGGCCCGTGGCCGTACCAGCAGCAGCAGGCTCAGGTTCGGGTTCCGGCGGAGCAGGCCAAGAACGGGAAACAGGCGCCTGACGAGGCGCGGAGGGAGCAGGCGTGCGGACGGGAGCGGGGGCCGTGGCAGCAGAGCTACCGGAGGAGCTTGCGCGGGGAATCGGGAGAGGCGCCGAGTGAGACGCCGAGGCGACGCCAGAAGCACCAGCAGCCGAGGGTTGCCCCTCACTACACAGCTTTTTCGCGGCGGGTTCACCCGTCGTGGTCAACTGAGCATCAGCCGGAGCGGAAGTCGCAGCTCCGTCATGGAGGTCAGGGAGAACACCATCGGGAAGGTCCTCGAGGAACTCGTCTCCGAGTTCGCCGAGCGTGTCGTCGCCCGCGGAGATCTGCTCCTCCGTCATGACGTGATCGGGGTTGTGCTCAGTAGCCATAGTTGCGAGGGGTAAGTGAGAGATAGCCAGAGGCTCTGATTTATACCCGAACGAGAAAGGGGAGAAAATGACACTCCAGACAGGAGCCAAGAAAGCGAGGAAAGTCATCAAGCCAGACCGCGCAACAAGGAAGGGAGAGCGATTCGAGAAGAATTTGGTGCCCAGGCGATGGCCATAGCAACCGGAGGAGGCTGACTGGATGCCAGATCGGCAGTCCGAGTCGGTAACGAGCGCATGAGCGCGTAACTGAGGAACCAGGTTAACACGGGTAACATTGCGCTGGCGTAGCCATGGCTGCGTCAGTCCGGGGTCAGGAGGGCGAAGCAGAAACGCCGCAGCAGGCTTGCATGGTGAGAGGCATCCAAACGCGGTCCAGCCGAGAGTCAGAACGAGGCAGGAACAGTCATCAAATGGATAAGGAAGCAGATTTCCAAAATTGTTGACAGAACCAAGGCTTCCGGCAAAACAGGAGTAAATCCCGTGCGTTAGACACGCTGGGCCAACACAACAACCGGTTGTTAGAAAAACACCGTAAGCAGCAGGACTCACCTTTCCCAGAAGTTTGGAGCAGACGTCCTTGTCATGCGGAGAAACGGAGGAAAACAGGAACCTGTGCACAAGACACCCGTTACAAGAAAAAAGACAAAGCTTACCTCTCAGTAGAACGTCAACCTGTTTACAGCGAACGCAAACAGCGTTATCCACATGACGAACTAGCGGTGTAGAGGAACAGCCGAGGTTGCTGTAAGCGAGGACGATGAGCAGCAGGGAAGCGGAGAGCTTCATTTTTTTTTTTCGCGGTTACGGAAATGAGGGTCTGAAGGAGATCCCAATGGGGCTGTTCGCCAGCACCATTATAGCAAAAAACGACGGGATAACGACGGGATCAGGAAGGTGGGTCTCGCCTTCCTGATCCCGTCAGTTAGAGTTCGTTAACCTCCGTCAGCCTGGTCAGCCCGTGAAAAAAGTGCCGAGCCTCACCTACCGTCCAAACCAACAAACAAAGTGGGCGTCTGGCGAACGCCCACTTTTGTCCACCAAATCTAACGCTTCGACGGCATATGGAAGCGGGGACGAAACTTCGTCCCCAGGCAAAACACCATCCCCTAGCCATGCCATCGCCATGCTGCGTTTTTCAAAGCACAGCGATGGCACAGCCGTCGCATTGCCGTTCAAAAGGGATCGAAGGGAAGGTGGGGATGGAGGTTCCCGACGCGGTTGAGAAATTTCTCAACCGCAGGCGCAGAAGTTTCCTGAACGGCATTACGGCCAAACCTCGGAGGTGGGTTCCACCTCCGTTTCCATATGCGGTCGCGATGCCGATGCCATCATTTTCATTTCAAAATACGATTTGCTGGCGAACAGCACCAATATAAGGGCATGGTCAAAGGTGATCAAACTTCGAGGGAATTCCTGTGCATGGGAAGCATCGTCGTCGTGTCGCTCCTTTCTAGAAGCTATTTACACCCTCCAGTCCACATGTACTACGCACTTGGACATACATAAATCTAGTCCACAGCAGAGCAGACTAGCCAGTCGCCACTCCAGAACTTCCATTGTCTGGCCATATTCGTGGTATTCCCGTCTCGGCTGTCGCCTTCGCGTTGATCACATTTCACTTCCAAATTTCATTTTATCAACTCGATCGAGTCAGAGAGTATTGGCGAGCAGAGCTATGGCGTCGGACGAGTCATCTTCGCGCATTCAGCTTTACTCTCTGGCCACTCCAAACGGCCAAAAGGTTCGTTACTGCTCCCTCGGTGCTTCCTAGGCGATTTTCTTTTTGTTAGCGTCGGATTAGACACAGGCTGGCGGTCTGCTCCATCTCTCCTTTGTAGCCGTCGGATTTGCTTTGCATGTCTCCGTAGTTATTCAACATTCGTCTTACCGCCTGTCCAGGCGCGCATTATCGCATCGGAGGAGATGGAGATACCGTAAGATGCGCTCATTGTCAACATGGTCCAGGGCGAGCGGTTCACGCACCAATATTTCCTTTTTTTTTTTTATGTTGTTTTCCCTTCTTTTCCCCTCTCTCCCGCACTGTCGTCTGACCGCCTGTTCAGGTGAGCATCGCGTTGGAGGAGATGGGGATTCCGTACGATGCGCACACGATCAACATCTTGAAGGACGAGCAGTTCACGCCCGAGTTCATCGCCATCAACCCCAACAGCAAGATTCCCGCCATCGTGGATCCCAAGGGAGCGCCTGGTAAGCATGCGAAATCTGGTTACCATCCATCAACGATGTGCACACGATCAACATCCTGGAGGACGAGCAGTTCACGCCCGAGTTCATCGCCATCAACCCCAACAGCAAGATTCCCGCCATCGTGGATCCCAATGGAGCGCCTGGTAAGCAAGTGAAATTCTGCTCATCAGGTTAATTTCTTTCAGGCTCCTGACATTCTTATCCTTAGCCGTTCCAGAATTGTTCGTTTTTGCCAGCCAGTCTCTTGGCAATATCTGTCCTTCTGCTCTTGCTCTTGCCCTCTGCAACGTTCCTGTTTTCCACCACTTGGTGATGCAGACGGCACCCCACTGAAGATATTTGAGAGCGGGGCCATCCTGCTGTATCTGGCGGAGAAGTCGGGCAAGTTCCTGCCGCAGGATATGGTGCAGCGATGGGAGACTCTCTCCTGGCTCTTCTTTCAAATGGGCGGCGTCGGTCCCATGTTCGGCCAGGTGAGACATCTGATGCCGACCCATGTGCAGCCAGGCGAGACATCTGATGCCGACCCATGTGCAGCCAGGCGAGACATCTGATGCCGACCCATGTGCAGCCAGGCGAGACATCTGATGCCGACCCATGTTTAGCCAGGTGATAAAGCTGATGCTGACATATCTTTGACCAGAACGAGCGCAACCACCCGTATTCCACTCAACTTCGGGTTGAGAGCGCTGGAAGCCCTCCCCTTCTTCCTTTTTTACTGCCTCCTTGTGCTCATTGCTTTCAACAGTTCGGTCATTTCTTCAAGTACGCGCGGGACAAGTGCGACCACCCGTACCCCACCGAGCGCTACACCAACGAGGCACGGCGGCTGCTGGGGGTGCTGGAGAAGCGGCTGGAGGGGAGGGACTTCCTCATTGATGCTGGATATACCATCGCTGACATGGCTATCTTCCCCTGGGTCATCTGCCTCAAGGTGTGTGGCAAGTTTGATTTGATTTTGCTACCACAGGTTGCTTTGAAGAAGTGGTTGGCTGGAGGGGAGGGAGTTCCTCCGGATGTGGGCCACACCATTACCGACATGGCCACCTTCCCCTGGGTCATATGCCTCAAGGTGAGCGGGGAGGTTGCATTTGGGGAAGTGGTTGGCTGGAGGGGAGGTAGTTCTTTACTGTTGGTGGCTACACCATTGCCGACATGACCACCTTCCCCTGGGTCCTCTGCCTCAAGGGGGTGAGGGGGGAGATTGCATTTGGGGAAGTGGTTGGCTGGAGGGGAGGTAGTTCCTCTGGATGCGTGTTGCACCGGCCACCTTCCCCTGGGTCATATGCCTCAAGTTGTGCTTTCAGCGTCACTACTAGGTGCTAATCTCAACGTTGATTTTCTTGTTTTCATCCTCTCCTCACCTCCCCCCTATCCTTCTCCCGCGTTTTCCTCCTACCCGGCCTTCTCCTTTCCATTTGAACGCTTGCCCTTCCATTGTTTACACTATTGTCCTTCATCGTTGACACCCCTTGTTTCCCTCTGTACAGAAACATTATAATGGAGAGGAGCAGCTGAAACTGGAGGAGTTTCCAAAGGTGCACGCATGGACAGAGAGGTGCGTAGCTAGGCCGCTCACCGCCAAGGGAATGAATGTTTGCCCTTTTGGTTGAGTAGTGACTGATGAAAGTAAATACCACGCATTGCTGGGCCGGAATGCTCATATAATATAAATAAAACATGGTTTGTGCTAACAGTTTTTGTTTATTTAGTGCATAAATTGTTGTAATTTTTTGCAGCATATTCACTCTGTAGAAAAAAGATCTGGTTTCTGTAGTAAACATGTTGCAAGATTCGTACATTGTCGAACTAATAGATAGACCGGGATACTTCAACGCGGATGTTTCATCACCTTCTCAGCTGAACCCTCTGGTCGTCACAACTTCGCGCCACGGTAATCCCAAGAAGGCAGAGCAGGATTTTGAATCCCACCGCACTGCCTCACCTCGCCTGTCAGGCTCGCGCATTTGCTGTGCTGGCATGCGAAGTACCCGTTCGTCGCTTAGGCTTCAGCTGCTCGTTACGAGCAGTGCGTGTGCGTCGGCCATGGCGGTCGGTGCTTCACCACCACCATCATCTGCATTCGCCTTCTGCGTTTGTCATGGAGAGATGTCGGTGTCGCATAGGGAGCCTGACAGCCGCTTCGTGGGTTCACAACACGAAGATAATAGAGCCTTTCGCACGGCTTGGCACGCACCGTTGTCAAGGTTCAAAAGACGTAAAACCGTTATATGCCTGCCTGTCTGAGAGCCAGTGGGTGTGGTTGCAAGAATCAGCCTAATTCTAGTGTTCAGAATCAAGGACCCTTCAGAACCGTTCAGGACCTATCAGGACCCATTGTTGGTCCTCGGTGTTGAGAAGCGATCAGTTCAGAAGCATTTAGCGAGAGTGTCATTAGGGTGTGCGACTACTTGAGCGCTCCTCCCTCTAAGAACACCTCGCACCGCACTGCGTTACCAATTCCTCTGGTTTTGAGACGTCTCAGAACTTCCTCTGGATCCGCACATTAGTGTGCGAAGAGCGACGTTCCACAATGAAGAGTCCTGGCATGCATACCGTTCACTGGCTGTGACATTGATCGTCAGGCGTTCCAGAAGGGATTCTGCTACTGCTTTGTTGAACAGTTTGACGGATTCCGTCGCAAAACGTCAAATATTCGCTCAGAAACTCCCCGGCGGAAACAAAAAAAAAAAAAACAAACAAACAAAAAAAAAAAAAACAAAAAAAAAAAAACTTCATTCCGGAGGCTCCCAAAAGCTCACTGCTTCTAATTTACGCTCAGACTCAGGCTCAGCCTTAGTCTCGGCCTTGGGCTCAGCCTTAGGCTCGGCCTTAGGCTTGGGCTCAGGTTTAATTCAAGGAGCCTTTCGTTGGAAGCAGCCCACGATGACTCAAGCTCGCGGTGTCGCTGAAGCTGTTCTCACCGTGGCAATGATAGCCGTGCTCGCAGCTTCTTGTCAAGGTAACCATTTTCTTTTCAGGCGCCTCAACAATCGTGCTCGCAGCATGTTGACAAGGTTACCACTTCCATCATGTGACCGGGATGTCACACACGCACCCACGCTAATTTGAGCGCTGACATTCCTGGTTTCACACAGACTGTCCCTCATGCATGCTCTTTTTCTCTGTCTCTTTCAAGTGTTGATCACCATATCGTTGTCCCATCCTTGCTTTTTATATTAACCTTTTCCACTAACCGGTACCCATTTGAGATTTGTAACTCTTCCACGTCATCACTACTTACCAACCAGCAGCAGCCACAGACCCGTCTGACGTGGCGGCACTTCAGCGCTTCCACTCATCTGTCTTCACCATCGCTAGCACCAGCCATGCCAGCAGCACCACCAGTGACAACAACAGTAGCAGCGGCAACGGCAGCAACAGCGGAAACAGCAGTCGTGGCAGTGGCAGCAGCAGTGACAGCAGCAGCAACAGTGTGATGGCCGGCAGGGGAGGAAATAGGGTGCCTGGAGTGCCGGGATGGTTCCCCTCACCCCAATCAGACCCATGCCAAGACTCATTCCCAGGAGTGCAGTGCTCCAATGACCAGCCGCCACGTGTCACAGGGTTAGTCCTCTCTATCTCTCCCTCCCGTTATCTTTCCACCTATTCCCCACCCCATCTTACCCCTCCCTTAACTCTCTCTTTCTCCCTCTCCCTCTCTGCCACCGTTTCATGGCTTTCTTAAGCTGACCGATTCGTCATCTTCTCCTCAAGCCTCTCCTTCTACCTCAGCGTTTTCTCCCTATTTAGTCTTTATGTGTCCGTGTCAGTTTGCTTCGAGGCTCACGAGTCACTACTCCTTGTGACTTTTTAGTCGAGCCACATCTCTCCTTGTCTTTGTGTTTGTGTGTTCCTTGTGACTTTGTACCTGTCTGTGTCTATCTGTGCATGACCAGCCTGGAACTCTACTCCCACAGGCTGCACGGCTCCTCGCTGAGAGCCCTCGCGCTCTTGACTCGCCTTGACTTGATTGACCTGGTGTCTGTCTGTGTGTCCACCTGTTTCTTTGTGTCTGTGTCTATCTGTGCATGACCAGCCAGGAACTCTACTCCCACGGGCTGCACGGCTCCTCGCTGACAGCCCTCGCGCTCTTGACTCGCCTTGACTTGATTGACCTGGTGTCTGTCTGTGTGTCCACCTGTTTCTTTGTGTCTGTGTCTATCTGTGCATGACCAGCCTGGAACTCTACTCCCACGGGCTGCACGGCTCCTCGCTGAGAGCCCTCGCGTTCTTGACTCGCCTTGAATTCATTGACCTTGAGGTATGTAGATTCGCTCAACGGAAGGGAGGACTGTGACTTTTGAGCATATTCAGAAGTTGTCCCTGAGAGTTCACGTCCTCTTGACCCGCCCTGAATTTATTGACCTCGAGGTACGTAGATGCGCTCAAGCGAAGGAAGGAGACGACTGTGTATGTAGCTTACTGCATGTCTTTCAATCAATTCATGAATTCCAAGTGCATTTGCGTGCAAGGGAGTGATGCCCTCCTTTGTGTATCGCATTCCATTCACATTCCGTTCCGTTCAGATAGGAGGAATGAACCTGCCCCAGCTCTCTCCTTCTGATTCACCCGCTCTATTACCCAATCCCGTCACCCCCTCCTTTTCCAAAACACAGACAGAATATCTCCTTTCAATGCGCTATAGCCAAGCCTCTGTGTCTACCCTCCGTCGTCTCTCCCTCTCAGGGCATCTCCTGGGAGCCCGACTAATAAGAATCTCTTCCCTCCTCTCCCCCTTCCCTCCGCTTCCAATCGTCCCCTCCCCTCTCCTCCCCTCTCTCTCCCCCTCCCCTTACCGTCCCTTCCCCTTATTTCTCTCCCCCCCCCCTGCGTCCCCTCACCTCTTGTCTCCTCTCCCATATCCCCTCACAGCAACCTTTTGCAGTGCTGCTGCCAATTCAAGACCTATCTCGCCATCACCTAACTTTCTCTGCAAGCCCTTTTTGCACTTCCCTTCTCCTCTCCCCCCTTCCCCTCCCCTTCCCTCCCCTCCTCCCCTCCCCTCCCCTCTCCTCCCCGCTCCTCCCCTCCCCCGCTCGGCTCTCATCACCCCATCTCAGAGCAACGCCTTTCACTGCCGACTACCCAAGTCCTTTTCCCGCCTCCCTCCACCTCACCTACCTGGACGTGTCCAAGAACCTTCTCTTTGGCTCCCTCCCAGACCTCTCCCACGTCCCTCTCCCCTCTCCCCACTCCCCTCTATGAGCCTCCCCCTCAGAGAGCAACGCCTTCCACTGCCGCTTACCCAAGTCCTTCTCCTGCCTCCTCCACCTCACCTACCTGGTCATTCACAATAACTCCCACGGTGGTGTTACTCTTGACAATTCTCAAAAGTAACACCAAAATAACCTCCCCTCCCCTCCCCCTTCCGCTATCGCCCCCATCTCCCCTCAGAGCAACGCCTTTCACTGCCGACTACCCAAGGCCTTCTCCCGTCTACTCCACCTCACCTACCTGGACGTGTCCAAGAACCTTCTCTTCGGCTCCCTGCCAGACCTCTCCCGCCTGCCCCTCCAGTTCCTATTCCTCGACCGCAACCGCCCCGCCCCTGCCTCGCCCTCTGCCCCTGCGCCTGCCGCTGCCACTGTCTCACCCTCTGCCTCTGCCCCTGCTCCTGCTTCTGCCTCCGGCGCCACGCTGAGCGAAAGGCATGCCTCCACCGCTGCTGCTCGTGCAAAAAGGTGGTCTGGCCTCACGGGAGGGATACCAGCAGGGCTGGCGAATGTGACCACCCTGCGCGCCCTCGACCTCTCCTTCAACTCCTTGTCGGGTCAGTGAGACTTCCTTGCTCTCCTTGTTCGTTTTAAGCGGCTTGATTATAGATGCCTCACGGGAGGGATACCAGCAGGGCTGGCGAATGTGACCGCACTACGAGCTCTCGACCTCTCCTTCAACTCCTTGTCCGGTGAGATAATAACCTTTCCACTACAGTCAACATCCGCCTGCCGGTATCCTTCCCGTGGGTGAGAGTGAGACTGCCCTCCGGTGTGACCACTCTGCTGCGTGCCCTCAACCTCTCCTTCAACTCCTTGTCTGGTGCGCGAGTCTGCCTTGTTTGCCTTCTCTGGTCATGCAGGTCATGCAGGGCAAGCAACCAGCTCTCATACCAAGGGACCCTACGAACCTGTTCCTCCGTGTCCCCCGCTCACCTTCTCCTCTGCTCCTGAGGCCCCATCCCCGCGCCCCGCATGTCTCGCCTCACTCATCAGCTGCAGCTTGGCCTGGCAGAGAAACCAGCTGACATTGTCCTCTTGTTCCCCTTGTCCCCTGCTCTTCTTGCTTCCCAATCCCCTTCTCCTCTGCTCCTCAGGCCCCATCCCCGCTGCCCTGACCTCTCGTCTTACTCGCCTGCTGCATCTTGGTCTTCAGAGCAACCAGCTCTCATCTCATGGGGGATTTCGTCTTCCTGTCTCCCTCGTGTGCCCCGCTCCCCTCTCTCTCCCTGACTCCTCAGGCCCCATCCCCGCTGCCCTGACCTCTCGTCTTACTCGCCTGCTGCATCTTGGTCTTCAGAGCAACGAGCTCTCATCTCATGGGGGATTTCGTCTTCCTGTCTCCCTCGTGTGCCCCGCTCCCCTCTCTCTCCCTGACTCCTCAGGCCCCATCCCCGCTGCCCTGACCTCTCGTCTTACTCGCCTGCTGCATCTTGGCCTTCAGAGCAACCAGCTTTCTGGCGCCATTCCGCCGCTCGACCAGTTGAAGCAGGTGAGTGTGCTACCTGCCATGCCGCTATCCCTTGCTACCCCCACATCTCACTCTTCACATCTCACTCCCCGCATCTCACTCCCCTTGTTCTTCCCCTCCCCGCCCACACTCCCTCTCTTCCCCTGGTCGCCCCCCTTTGTTCTCCACCAGCTAGCAACGCTTCGGCTTGCCTTCAACCCCTTAACACCAGCGCCCCTCCCCACCCCAACTCCATCCCTCGTCTCACCTCCCACATCCTCCTAGTTGATCTCTCCGCCACCAACCTGCAAAGGCCCCTCCCCAAACCAGCCACTTTACCCTTCACTAGCTGAGCCAAGCTACCTTGTATGTTAGAACTCAGAAGCACCCTGAAACCCAGCTCACCTCCCATTTCCCTTTCTTATTCGGTCCCCTGCCCACTCCCTCCACTTCCCCCCTGTTCTCTCCCTTCCCCGCAGCTGGCAACGCTTCAACTCGCCTTCAACCCCTTCACACCAGCGCCCCTGCCTCCCTCCATCCCTCGCCTCACCTCCCTCGTTCTCGTGCTCCATCTCTCCGCCACCAACCTCCGGTGACCCCTTCCAGGCCTCTCCACTCTTGTTCATGTCGTCGCATCTTCCCTCCTTTCCTCTATTCTTCCCCTCCGCTTGTTCTCCCCTCCACTCCTATCTTCCTCCCCTTCCCCTTTTGTCCCTCACCAGCTGGCAACGCTTCAAGTCGCCTTCAACCCCTTCACACCAGCGCCTCTCCCGCCCTCCATCCCGCGCCTCACCTCCCTCGTTCTCGTGCTCGATCTCTCCGCCACCAACCTCCGAGGGCCCCTCCCCGACCTCTCTGCTCTTGTCGGTGTCACGGATCTGCTACTCGACTTTAACAACCTTGATGGGCCGTTGGATCCGTCCTTCTTGCCCTCTGGACGGCTGGGATTCTTCTCAGGTACGAACTTGTGCAGGTTCTCCTTGACCTCTCTGCTCTTGTCGTTGTCTCTGATCTGCTCCTCGTTTTCAACGGCCTCGATGGACCCTTGGATCCCAATCTCTTGCCCTTTGGACGGCTGGGACTCTTCTAGGTGAGCTCTCGTTCTAATTGACCCTTTTCGGTTTCACCCTTTCGCTCACACATCTCAACCATATCCCCTTCCCGTCCTCTCCGCATGTCATCCCACTGTCCGCCAGGCACCACTCGTCTGACGCTCATTCTCACAACGCTATACGTGCCTCGTACTCCCCTTCCCGTTCTCCTTCGTACTGTACTGCCACCCCAAGCACCACAAACAGTTAAGGTAGAGGGTGACAGATGAAAACTGAATGGGCCGTTCTCCTTTTTGGGCCCCACCAGCCTGCATCTGTCACCCTCAAACGGTCCTCTCTCTCTGCCCTCACCATCTGTCCCTCCTTCCCCATTTACACACCCTTTGGTACCCCGTGTCTTCTCCATCCTTCCCCTCATATCTCCACTCTATCCCCCCTCTCCAACTTCTCAGGCCCCATCAGCCCGCAGCTAGCCATTCCTCTGGCGTCGCCCATCTTCTCCATCCTCGCCTCAGGGCTCATCCTCGCCCCTCCTATTCCTCTTTTCCCGCCCCCCTCCCCTCTTTCCCTTCCTCCCTCCCCTCCTTCCCTTCCCTCACCCCATCCTCCCCATCCCACCAACCTGTCCCCTTTGTTTCCCCCTCCCCCTTCCCTTCCTTCCCCTCTTCTCCCCTCCCCTTGAAAATCACGCCATACAGCCCACAGCAACAACTTCTCAGGACCTGTCAGCCCGCAGCTAGCCATCCCTCTGGCGTCGCCCATCTTCTCCATCCTCGACTCAGGGCTCATCTTCGCCCCTCCCTCCCATTCCTCTTTCCTCCCGTCCCTTCCCTTCCTTCACACCACACAGCCCACAGCAACAACTTCTCAGGCCCGATCAGCCCGCACCTGGCCATCCTTCCTCTGATATCCCCACTCTCCCCTTCCCCCACACACACACCACACAGCCCACAGCAACAACTTCTCAGGCCCGATCGACCCGCACCTGGCTGTCCCACTGGCATCACCCATCTTCTCCATCCTCGACTCAGGGATCATCCTCGCCAACAATTCCTTTTCGGGCAGCCTGCCAGGCAGCCTGGGCAGGCTGGTGCAGGCGTACGTGGTTGACGTGTCGCACAACCATTTGTCGGGCCACATCCCTCCTTCCTTCGGCACTCTATACCAGGTAGGTGCCACCACTCCCTTCATAACCCACCTGTAACAGGCACTGGAGCGATTTTTACTCTGCATGTGACCCACTTTGATTCGATCTCAATGTGACTGCATCTCTCCTTCTTTTGTTACTCTGTACCAGGTAGGTCCTTCCTACCAACCAGGTGACTCATCACACACGATACTATCCTGGTGAGCTGGAAATCGCTGTTGACCTGAACAGCTGCTCACTCCCTAGCCCAACTCCCTCCGTTCCCTTCACCCGGCTCCTCCTCAAGGACAATGCATTCACCGGTGCCATCCGAACCGAGCTACGCATGGCAACTGGGCTGAGCATGTTACCGCTCCTCAACGCATGTCCCTCTCTGTCCATGCCTTCCCACTCGATTCCCCCTCGCAGCTCACCCGCTTCCTTCTCAACGATAATGCATTCACCGGCGCCATCCCCACTGAGCTGGGCATAGCTACTGGGCTCAGGGTGTTACGGCTTGCTGGTAACCGCCTGTCCGGCACTGCCCCTGCCTCGTTCACCAACCTGACGCGGCTTCAGGTATTTTGAGACGTCTCAAAACAGGCTTCAGGCACGACACACATGTTCCTGAAGTCCCCATTCTTCGCAAGTTCATGGACGTCTCATCCCATTCTTCTTTGTTCTTGTATTCCATCCAGCCAGAAATCGGACATCAGCCAAAACCATTGTGTAAAACCTTAGTCGTTTAACCAATTACTTCTGCCTCCTGACTCTCCCAACCAGGAACTTGACCTGAGCCGAAACCACCTCGTTGCTTCCCTCCCCGACCTCTCCTCCTCCCTGCACCGCCTCACACTCCTCAATACCTCTCGCAACTTCCTCTCAGGCCCCCTGCCGTCCCACCTCCCTCCCTCCCTCCTCTCTCTCGACCTCTCCAACAACTTTTTCTCGAGCAGCCTGCCCGGGTCATCTGATTGGTTGCCTGGAAATGCAACTGCCCGACTGCATGGAAATTGCCTGCAGCTGCCATCCTGCCCTGTGCCTCCAAACCTGTGGTCCAGCCTTGGTGCGAAGCTGGGAGACAACTTCGGGCCGAACCTGGGAGCTGGTTTGGCGTGCTGGCTGGCGAAACAGCGCTCTGAGAGGCAGTGTGCTGCGTTCTGTGGAGCCAATGAAAGTGTGATACGTGTCTGCAGGTGAGTCGCCGAAACAGGGAGAGGGAAAAGGCGAGAGAGAAAAGGGATGTGTGTGTGACTGTGGTGAGACGTGAATGCATGAATCAGTTTGTCATGCTGCAATCAGGTGGGCACGCATGAATGCATGTCTGTTTATTGCGCGTCTTTTGAGTCGACTCAAAAGTCAGTGCAATCAGGTGGGCACGCATGAATGCATGTCTGTTTATTGCGCGTCTTTTGAGTCGACTCAAAAGTCAGTGCAACTAGGTGGGCACGCATGAATGCATGTCTGTTTATTGCGCGTCTTTTGAGTCGACTCAAAAGTCAGTGCAACTAGGTGGGCACGCATGAATGCATGTCTGTTTATTGCGCGTCTTTTGAGTCGACTCAAAAGTCAGTGCAACTAGGTGGGCACGCATGAATGCATGTCTGTTTATTGCGCGTCTTTTGAGTCGACTCAAAAGTCAGTGCAACTAGGTGGGCACGCATGAATGCATGTCTGTTTATTGCGCGTCTTTTGAGTCGACTCAAAAGTCAGTGCAACTAGGTGGGCACGCATGAATGCATGTCTGTTTATTGCGCGTCTTTCCCACGCATTACAATAGTTGTGGCCTACTTTGTTCCCCCCTCTTCTAAGGCGCCTCGAAGGTCCACTCCACTATCTATTCTCGCCTCCCACATGGTCTACAGAGGCCGTGGTAACTGCGTTCCCTCCTCACCTCTCCGTTGCTGTTCCCGTGTCTTTGTATTTTCCCCCCCTCCCCCATGCACCACAGTGGACGTGGTTACTGCGTTCCCTCCTCACCTCTCCGTTGACGTTCCCCTGTCTTTATTTCCCCCCCCCCCCACCCCCATGCACCACAGTGGTCGAGATTACTGCGTTCCCTCCTCTTCCACCCAAAGAAGGTTGACGGGAAGTGCTTTTCACTGCACCAACAGCAGCGGCGACAGCAGTGGCAGCAGTGGCATGAGCAATGGCAGCAGCAACAGCAGCAGCGACAGTAGCAGTAATGGCAGCACTAGTAGCAGCAAGAACAGCAGTAAGAGTGGGAAAGAACAGGGTGCAGGAGGCACAGACGACAATAAGCTTGGTTCCACCTACAGTTTCTCCCTTCCATCTGCCTTAGACAGCAAGCGCAGCAAGTCCACACTTTCTGTAGATGTGAGCACAATGTCTCTTAACGAGATTGCCTTTAAGAGGGATGCTTTGCTGCAGCAGTCGAAAGAGTGGTTGGGGGATTTGAGGATCCGTGTGAGCAAGGGAGGAGGCGAGGGTGCAGGGAGAGGAGGGGGAAAAGGAAGAAGGGTGGGAGGGAAGGATGTGAGAAAATGGGTTGAGAGGATACGACAGTTGGTTAGGAAGGAAGGGAGGATCTAGAGTATGGTTTTGTGACGTCCCAAAAGAAGGGAAGACCTAGAGTATGGTTTTCTATTCATGTGACCTTTGCCCACAAGTTGTGTTGTGAAACAGTTTGCAGTTTGCTTGTGTTTGTGTTGTGTTGTGTATGGTTTGCAGTATACACCTAGTATACACCTAGTTGGTTTGAGTTCCTGAATCCTGTCACAGAAAATGATCTGTGGCGGAAAAATAGTCTGGTTACACCACGAATACACCAAGAAATACTACGGTACCAAAAGAGCAGTGCAAGAATGTACAATATATACATAATCATGAACGCCATTTTCCCATAGGTATCATCTCCGAGAACCTACACCAGCAACACCACTCACTCCCATCCCAGCAGCACCCCATGCACAAAGGGAAACAGAAGGCACACTCAGCCTGATCTGAGGCTACAACCTCCCACCCCAACCAGCCCAGTCCCCTCATTCATGCTTGAAACAGGCTGCGCGCTTCTCCAAAAAACGCCTGCATGCCTTCCTTCTGGTCACCAAGAGCGAACGAGGAGAGAAAGAGTGCTCGCTCCTCAGCCAGCCCTTGACCCTCCTTCTCATCTCTTCGCATCTCTTCCCCCCTCTTCCCCCCACCCGCTCCGCTCTCCCCCACCTCCTCCCAATCCGCATCTACCACCACCACCACCAGATTACCAGTTTTCACTCATTCATGCTTGAAATCAGGAGCCCGCTTCTCCAGAAACGCCTGCATGCCTTCCTTCTGGTCGGCGAGAGCGAAGGAGGAGAGGAAGAGTGCTCGCTCCTCCGCCAGCCCTTGAGCCAGCGACCCGTTGAACGCCGCGTTGACGCTCTGCTTCGCCATGGCTACAGCCGGTTGCGACAGAGATGCGATCTTGCTAGCTGTTGCTATGGCTGCTTTCACTAGCTCCTCTGGTGGGCCTGGGATCTGGGGAGCAAGAGGTGAGTGCGAGCAGGGAGCAAGGGGGGAACGAGGGGAATGCATGCAGGCAAATTGAGTGCACGTATTCAGTAAAAATACGGTAATGAGTACAGAGCAGCACCCACCACCCTACCAACAAGCCCAGCCTTTGCTGCCTCCTGGGCATCCATGAAGCTCTCGCCGCAAGAATCATCTCCATGGCTTGCGCCTTGCGCACAGCTGCAATCCAAGCCTACTCTGTGTGTAACGCAGAAGCACTCTCCACTCTGCTACTCGGGTTAGTCTGTATGAAGCAACACGCACTCACCACCCTACTAACAAGCCCAGCCTCTGCTGCCTCCTGGGCATCCATGAAGCTCTCTCCGCAAGAATCATCTCCATGGCACATGCCTTGTCCGCAGCTTCAGTCATAGACATACTCGTTATAGACTCACCACTCTACTATCAAGCCCAGCCTCTGCTGCCTCCTGGGCATCCATAAAGAACTCCCCCGTGAGAATCACCTCCATGGCGCGTGCCTTGCGCACCGCTTTATACATTCCCATACTCGTTATAGACTCACCACTCTACTAGCAAGCCCAGCCCGTGCAGCCTCTTCTGCGTCCATGAAGAACTCCCCTGTGAGAATCATCTCCATGGCGCGCGCCTTGCCCACGGCGCGAGTGAGTCGCTGCGAGCCACCCATCCCGGGAATCACCCCCAGCTTCACCTCCGGCTGCCCAAACACGGCCTTCTCGCCCGCCAGGATGATGTCACACATCATCGCCAGCTCGCACCCGCCACCTAAGGCATAGCTGGGGGACACGGAGGAAGGGGGTTGGCGGGGGCAAGGAGGGGAAGGAGCTTCACCTCCGGCTGCCCAAACACGGCCTTCTCGCCCGCCAGGATGATGTCACACATCATCGCCAGCTCGCACCCGCCACCTAAGGCATAGCTGGGGGACACGGAGGAAGGGGGTTGGCGGGGGCAAGGAGGGGAAGGAGCTTCACCTCCGGCTTCCCAAACACGGCCTTCTCGCCCGCTAGGATGATGTCACACATCATTGCCAGCTCGCACCCGCCTCCCAGAGCATAGCTGGGAGAGACAGGGAGGATTAGAGAAGGGGTGTAGGGGGGTCCCAAAAGGGGTTAGCTTCACCTCTGACTGCCCAAACACGGCCTTCTCGCCCGCCAGTATGATTTCACACATCATCGCCAGCTCGCACCCGCCACCCAGAGCGTAGCTGGGATGAACCAGGAGAACAGAAAGGGGAAAAACAGCGAGGGTGTGAGGGGGCAAGGGAGAAGATCTTCACCTCCGGCTGCCCAAACACGGCCTTCTCTCCTGCTAGTGTGATGTCACACATCATCGCCAGCTCGCACCCGCCGCCCAGGGCATAGCTGAGAACAGAAGGCGAGTGGGAATTGAAGGAAGATGAGAAGAATGAAGGGGGTAGGGACGAAAGAATCGATAATCAAAGTGAGAAAGGCAAGTAGAAGCACCCACTTGAGAGACGTCTCAGAAGAAGTGAGAGACGTCTCACCCGTTGACAGCAGCAATGACCGGTTTCTTCAGCCGCCTCATCTCGTCCCACTGCCAAAGCAGGTCCCTCTTGAGAGCAGCAGCGAAGGTCAGTGGCGCCATCTCCGCTATGTCCGCCCCCGCTGCAAACGCGCGCCCCTCGCCCGTTATCACCGTCGCCCCCACCTGGGGCAAGGTGTTTATAACGCGTACAGGACAGACAGAAACAAGAGCAGTGAGTGTCTTGAGTGCATGACCGTACACGAGCCATACACGTGTTACACACGAGTCATACGTGCCATAACGAGCCAAATAAGCCCTCCCCACACGCACCGTGGCTTTCTGGTCCATCCACTTTAACGCAGATACCACCTCCCCCATAACCGCCTGTGACAGCGCGTTCAGCGCTTTCGGCCGTGCCAGGGTAATTAACCCAACCTGCCCGTCCGCCACAAGCTCCACCCGGATATTCTGGAAAATACTCCCCCCGGGGGGTGTGTCCCCCGCGCCATCTCCAGCCTCCGCCGCGCCGCTTCCCCCGCCGTTGCTTCCCGTGCTGCTGCTGAATTCGCGGCCGATATGTGGACAGGCGTGTCGATACGGGGGATGAAGGGGCGGAGCGGAGTCACGGTAAGGGGAGCGCGCTGTGAGGTGGAAGGCGGAAGGGGCGGAAGCGGCGGAAGCGGCGCATGGGGCGGGGAGAAAGGACAGAGCGGAAGATGGGGCTGGGGAAGGGATGGAGGACGCGGGGGTGAAAGCGGAAGCGGTTGAGCGCAGCCATGACGCGCGCGGCGGGCAGGGGGAAGATGCAGCGGCGGGAACGGGTAGGGGATGGACGGGGAGAGGCGAGGCGGAGCGCGGAAGGAACGCGGGTGTGGCGGGAGATGCGGCGATGGCAGGCTGGGCGAGGAAGGGGTGGAGAGCGACAAGGCGAGACGCCGCTGCGCGCGTTCTTGGAACACAAGCAGCCATGACAGCAGCCAACAGCAGCAACAGAAGCTGCTACAGTAATGAACAATTTTTAGGATATTTATTTTAAAAACGTTTGGTACCTTTTGTACAGCTCTCGTAGCTCAGTTGGTTAGAGCGTATGGCTGTTAACCATAAGGTCGGTGGTTCAAGCCCACCCGGGAGCGACATTTTGTTTTGTCTCCCCCCACGCTTCTCAATTCTTGGTGGCGGTTTGGGTTGACCTGAACTGACCTGCGTCTGGCTCGACTGAACCGTCCTTCTCATCAACCTCGGGGAATACGCCCTTGGTAGCAGAATGTACCATTCATCTCGGGTGGGAACGGTTGACCGACCTCACGATTTTTGGCTTCCATTCTCAGGAACCTCGAGATTGTCGCCAATCTACCAAATCTCGGATTTTTGCTGTTCCGCCAAGGACTGATCCGCTTTTGGACACGGGACGGGACGGATCTTTATTCTCTCTGTCCCCCGCCGACCACGGGCGCTAGTTGCGGGTTGTCGAACGCAGGTCTGGGATAGTCTTCGCTTGTAGAGACGCGGTGGGAGATTTCGTTTTTCCGTAGATTTCTCCTCGGATTCTTGCGCTGCGTTCGCCCATCCAAGCTAGATCGGCGCGAGGGAGTAAATCGCGGTCATGGGGATCGTGGAGGATTTCAGATCTGTGACGTCCACATTCTATAACGAGTACAGCAAAACACCCGTCAAACTCAAGGTCCGAGGAATTGCATGACGCCAGAATTCTGGTGTTAGGAGGCTGTGGCACTAGCGGCGGATCGCGCCTCAAGGCATGATTGCGAGCATGGAAGAAAATAATTTGAGCTTGGATGTCGCGTGGATGCACGAGTCATGAAAAAAAGAAATTTAGTCGCGTGGATGCGCGTGGATGTCGCGTGGATGTCGCACTTCAAGGCATGATTGCGAGCATGAAACAAAGAGATTGAGCTATCTCGTAGATGTCGCGTGGATGCACGAGACATCCATGGCGGTTCCACTGGGTGCAATGAAAATCGGCCGCGCATGCCTGGCACAGCATTTCTGCTTTATATTTTCCTGTCGCCAACCCCGTCGTTACCTTGTTTCCTCCCGAGAATGAAGCTAACGAATCGCAATTGTTTTTCTCCTTTTTTATTTTTTCTTTTCTTTTTTTCTAATGTCCGAGAAAACATGCAGGCCCTCGATCTGCTCGTGGTCTACGCACTCCTGACGGCTGGGATTCAGGTATGCTCCACGTGCCGTCCACGCCCGTGTCCACGTGTCGTCCCTTTACCCACCGCCCCCAGTTAGCATAATTGTCACTAATGGACTCGAAACTCACTCATCACACCTTGTTCACCCCCGCCCTTGATTCCGCATGTTCCCTCACACGCCTTTATCTCCCACCCCCTCAACTCCTTTCCTCCCCTCCCTCCTCCGCCCATCTATCACGCTTTGTGACCATGTCTCTGGTGTGGTCACTTCCCGTCAAGGCCTCTGGTCAACTCTATCGTTACTCCATACTCCTCCCGTTCCTTACCCCCTTCCCCCCTCACCACACCCACCCCCTTCCCCACACCTTGCCCGTTTCCGACACGTCCCCTTTTCCTACGTGCGCCAATCGCGCAGTTCGCATACATTGCGCTGGGGGAATCGTTCTCCTTCAACGCCTGTAGTCACTCCTATGCTTCCTTCCCCCTTCCCCCCCTTCCCCCTTTCCCCGCGCGCCAATCGCGCAGTTCGCGTACATGGCGCTGGTGGGGTCGTTCCCCTTCAACGCGTTCCTCGCTGGTCTGCTCTCCTGTATCGGGACCGCCGTGCTTGCAGGTATGCGCGAACCTTGCATGCACTCGCGTCCTCACGTCGTTTACTCTTGATTTTACCCTGCTTCGAGTTCACCCATAAATGCCTTCAAGATGACCTTTGAGTCGACTCAAAAGTCAACTCGTTGTTTACCCCGCTTTGAACTTCGCCCATAAATGCCTTTTTCTGCCCTCTCCAGCCTCTCTTTTTCCCCTCGTCCAGCCTTGCCGCTCCTCCTGAGCCTCTTTTTCTTTTCACTCACTTGCTCCTCCCTTGCACTGTTCTGCTTCTTACACTGCTCCCCTTCTCACCTGAAACTCGTTTCTCGCAGATTTCCAATCCTCCCTCCGCTTGTGCATCTTCTTCCGTTCAACTGTGCATTGTATCCTCTTTTCACCCACTGTCTTTCTGTGCGTCTGCTCATGTCCCCCCCACTCTCTCTCCTTTCCCCTATCTCTCCATCCCACAGTGCGTTTGAGAATGCAGGCCAACAAGGAGAACAAACACTTCCAGGTCTCTCAAACGTCTTCCCCCTCGCTCATCTCTCACCCGCTCTTTCTCTCCGTCTTTCTCCCTCTCGCCCTCTCTCCCACGCCGCAGTGTGTTTGAGAATGCAGGCCAACAAGGACAACAAAGACTTCCAGGTTCGCTCCTTCCTCCTCCCTGCCCTTCTCTCTGCCCTCCCCCATGCCCTCCTCCCTGCCCTCCCCCATGCCCGAACCCCCAAACTCCTCGTCCTGTCCTGACCTCTTCTTCCCACGTGCTCCTCCTACTTTCCATGACCCCCACGATGAGATTTGTTTCTGAGCTCACCCCTTTGTGTGCTGATTCGCGTGACACATTTGTGTTTCATGCACCGACTTAGAAGTTACGCCGGTATTAGGTTTACGCTTTCTTTATGTAACTTTTCCCCACCACTCTCCTGCGCCCACCCTGCTGTTCCCCTACCCCTCCACTCCTTCAACCCTCCCGCCTACGGTACTTTCTATCCTGCCCGTAACAGGACCTGCCAAACGAGCGCGCTTTTGCCGACTATGTGCTCTGTAGCCTTGTGCTGTACCTGGTCGTTATCAACTTTATTGGTTAACTTACCGTACCATATGACAATGCGACAACAACTGCTCTTCTTACAATGTGTGTTTGAAGCAGGCAGGCATTTTTTAAACCGTACCTGTCAGAGCCCTGGGTTGTAACTCTCTACTGTATTTGCTTTTGCACTTCGCAAACTGATTATGGTACTACCATAGAATTTGCTTAGCAACATCCTGTAACATGGATTGGAGATTCAGCAGACTGGGCTCGTAAACTGGCTAGGTAATTACCTTGGCCAGCTGCCATCAACATGCCACTACCTACCGATAACAGGTTGCCAAATTACCACTAGAGTTCAGTACGGTACGGTAACGTCGTGGCAGCCACAAGTGATGTGTGTGCGGATGCATGCATGGCTGGTAATGTCTCTGTCCTGGTGCCGTTGTCTGCCTGTGCCTGTGCCTGTGCCTGTGCCTGTGCCTGTGCCTGTGCCTGTGCCTCTGTGTCTGTGTCTGTGCTTGTGCCTGTGCGTGTGCCTGTGCCTGTGCCTGTGCCTGTGCCTGTGCCTGTGCCTGTGCCTGTGCCTGTGCCTGTGCCTGTGCCTGTGCCTGTGCCTGTGCCTGTGCCTGTGCCTGTGCCTGTGCCTGTGCCTGTGCCTGTGCCTGTGCCTGTGCCTGTGCCTGTGCCTGTGCCTGTGCCTGTGCCCATGCCATACTCTCACCATCACCATACAATGCCCAAAAAGAGGCAAAATGGGGCAGGGAAGTGGTAGCCATTGGATCAGCTTCTCAACTCAACTCTTTCTTACACTCTACAAGAAAAACAGCATGGCTTTATGCATAGACATCATGCCATGCCATGGCTTTATTACACTGAGTCACCTTCATTATAGTGCCACCATAGGTTGGGCAGCTATCGAAGTTCTCACCCAATGCACCCCATCCGTCCATGCCAAGCTCCCAAATGAAAACTTTCCACTGCCCTTTTTTGGGGTCAGCTTCACCGAAAAGGTTATGCTCTGCCCGGGCAGAATCGTAAACTGCTTCGGCGTGACTTCTACCATTACGTCCGGCATGGAACCGAGCCGAAGCTTGTAGGTCCGGGCATGTCCAGCCACACTCGTAACCCTCCTGGTTACGGTTACCACTGTAGACAGCCGCGACACGCAAATATTCGGCTGATTCAAATCCCACGCCTTGATTGGCGAAAGCGAAGTGGTTTTTCCTAGCACCTGTCGAGCTTTCAGCATATTCAGCCCGGCCAGAAAATTCGCGTAGCCCGCAAACCCAACGTCGTATACCAGCCCAGGGTTAAGAATTTTCGGGGCATTTACGTGCCCGGACCCGAAATTCCAGGGTGTCCCTTTCGCTCCAGACGAATCGGCAATGAACCCGCCCTGCCTTGTCATTACTGTAGCCGTCGTCATTATTGCGGATTTTACTGCTGAGGGGCTCCAATCGGGGTATTTTTGAATTATAAGCGCTGCGATTCCGGCAACTTGAGGTGTAGACATTGAGGTGCCACTTTTGCTGGTGAACCAGGCTTGGCCTTTAAAGCCCCCAGCAGCAGCAGCAAGGCGGGTGATACCAGGGGCAGTGATGTCGGGCTTTAAGAGGTCGTTGGTGAGGGTGGGCGAGGCGGAGGGGAGCTTGTTGGGGTTTAAGGGAGGCCCGGCGGAAGAGAAGGGGGCCATCATGGGGTCTGAAAGCTGGCTTGGCTGGGGTGGGGAGCGGGGAGGAGGGGGGCGAGGGGGGAAAGGGTGTGGTTTTTCAGGTGCCTGAAAAGGGGGATTCGGCGGAGGAGAAGGGGGCCATCATGGGGTCTGAAAGCTGGCTTGGCTGGGGTGGGGAAAGGAGAGGAAGGAGTGGAGACAGAAGGGGGGAGCTTATAGGCGCCTGAAGGGGGGTGCCAACGGGAGAGAAGGGGCCCATCATGGGGTCTGAAAGCTGGCTTGGCTGGGGTGGGGAAAGGGGAGGAAGGAGTGGAGACAGAAGGGGGGAGCTTATAGGCGCCTGAAGGGGGGTGCCCACGGGAGAGAAGGGGCCCATCATGGGGTCTGAAAGCTGGCTTGGCTGGGGTGGGGAAAGGGGAGGAAGGGGGAGAAGGAAAGGAGGGAGAGGGGGGGGGGGGGGGGGGAGGGGGGGAAGGGAGGGGGGGGAAGGGAGGGGGGCTTTTAGGCGCTTCAAAAGGGGGGCTCGGTAGAAAAGGATGGGACCATCAAGGGGTGTGGGAGCTGCCTTGGCTGGCAGAGGGGGGAGGGGCGCGATGTGGGGAGCAGGCAGGGAAGGAGGGGAGGAGGGGAGGAGGGGAGGAGGGGAGGAGGGGAGAAGGGGAGGAGGGAAACGGGAAGGGAGGGGAGGGGGTGAATTGGGAGATACTCGTCGCCGCGAGGGTTGCGGGTTTTGAGGCGCTTGAAAAGGGAGGCCTGCGAGCGAGAGGGTGTTGGAGAGGGGGGGGGATCGGGGGGCTGCAGGGAGGGTTTCAGACTGGAATATGGAATACGGGTGATGAGGGGGAGGAAGTGCTGGGAAACGATGGGGTGTGGGGAGGGTTCTTTTGAGACGTCTCAGGGGTCGGGGGGTCACGGGGAGGTTTCAGACTGGAATATGGAATGCGGGTAATGAGGGGGAGGAAGTGCTGCTGGGTAATGATGGGGAGGAAGTGCTGGGTAATGAGGGGGAGGAAGTGCTGGGTAATGAGGGGGGGTGGGGAGGTTTTTAGAGTCAATTACGGAACACGGGTAATAAGGAGGGGGAAGTGCTGGGAAATGATGGGGTGTGTGGCACATGGCATGCACCTCCTGAAGAATCACCTGCCGCCCCACCTGAAGCTGCACCTGATGATTACCACTCAAAGACTAACCTGTTGTCTAACCTGAAGCTGTACCTGGCAATCACCTGAACATTCACCTGGCACCGCACCTGCAAATTCTCCTGATGCTTCCGGCAGGCCTCTCACCTGAACGGCAGATGCAGCAGCAGGCAGCAAGGTGCCGTTGACTTGCGTTGACTTTGTTGACTGTGCAGAGCCGCCAAAGAAACCCCAGTCGTTATCTGTGGAGCTGCGGGGAAATGAGGAGGGGGAGGGAAAGAGTGGGTCATGAGAGTGGGTCATGAGAGTGGGTCATGAGAGTGGGTCATGAGAGTGGGTCATGAGAGTGGGTCATGAGAGTGGGTCATGAGAGTGGGTCATAGGGAGAGTGGATGAGCTGTCAAAAGAGGACAGGTGGGCTGCGGAGGCCTTATTTCCTTCAACTCGAACCGGAGTAAACTCAAATGAGGAGGGGGAGGGAAAGAGTGGGTAACAGGGAGAGTGAATGCGAGGGAGAGAGAAGTGGAGAATCGGTGAGCTACCCACCTGACAGAATGAGCTACCCACCCTCCACACTCACCCACACCTCCAATGCCTTCCCACACCCTCTCACCCCATTTCACTCACCCCATTTCACTCACCCCATTTCACTCACCCCATTTCACTCACCTGCACCGCTCGCAGGAGGTGGAGGTCACCCAAGTCGGTGTCTTCGCCCGACCCGATGCTCATGGAGAGCACATCCACACCGCCTCACACCCCCCCACACCCTACCATGCCCTCCCACACCCTCTCACTCACCTGAACCGCTCTCAACAGATGCAGGTCACCAAAGTAGGTATCTTCGCCCGACCCGATGCTCATGGAGAGCACATCCACACCGTCCGCGACGGCCTGATCAACGGCTGCAAAGATGTCGCAGTCGTGGCCGTACCCCTGCGTTGTACCAGAGCGCCTTGTACACCGCCAGCCTGCCACGTGGCGCCATGCCACTGGCCGGCCCGGCGGCCGATCCGAACTCGTCGGTCAGAACCACCCCTGCATTGCCTGCTGCCGCTCTGTGCGAATTAAACGGGTAAGGGGGGAAGCGGGAGGGGGAGGTTAGGGCGGGGGAGGGAGGCTGCAAGATTCAATTGAGGTCGATCCGAACTCGTCAGGGAGAACCACTCCTGCGTTACCTGCTGCTGCCCTGTGCGATTATTAAGAGGAAGAAGGGGAGGGGCCAACGGAGGGGAGGGGAAAGAACAAGGGGAAAGTGTAGGTGGACCAAAGCGGACAGTCAGGACCACCCTGGCATTGCCTGAAGTGGCTCTGCTGGATTTAAAGTGGTCGGTTTTGTTAGAATTCTCAAAGAACCACACGACCATGCTCTCAAACTGATCGGCGTTCCTAATCCTTCATCGGAGATTTTTAGAATTCTCTCAGAACCACATGACCATGTGTCACCGCTTTCCCCTCTCCCAAAACTCACCCCGCACACCACGTGCCGTGACCGCCGGCATCGCGAGCAGAGCGGTACTCCCCACGAGCCAGCTTGCCATACTCCGCCTCGTACCCCTTGAGGAAGTACCGCGCTCCTATCAGCTTGCGGTTGCACCTGCTCAGCCCCGTGCACGCCCCCCTCCACCGCTTGGGCACCGGTCCATAACCCTGGTAGTGAGAGGGAGAGGAGGGGAGAGGCGGGAAGAGGAGGGGAGGTGGGAAGTAGCTTGCACCCATCAGCTTGCGGTTGTACCTGCTCAGCCCCGTGCACGCCCCCCTCCACCGCTTGGGCACCGGTCCATAGCCCTGCAGTTGGTGAGAGGGGAGGAGGGGAGGAGGAAGGAGGGAATGTTACATGAAAGGAGGAGGAGGGGAGGAGGAAGGAGGGAATGTTATGTGAGAGGAGGAGGAGGGGAGGAGGAAGGAGGGAATGACATATGAAAGGAGGAGGAGGGGAGGAGGAAGGAGGGAATGTTATATGAAAGGAGGAGGAGGAGAGGAGGAAGGAGGGAATGTTATATGAAAGGAGGAGGAAGGGAGGAGGAAGGAGGGAATGTTATATGAAAGGAGGAGGGGGGGAGGAAGGAGGGAATGTTATATGAAAGGAGGAGGGGGGGAGGAGGAAGGAGGGAATGTTATATGAAAGGAGGAGGAGGGGAGGAGGAAGGAGGGAATGTTATATGAAAGGAGGAGGGGGGGAGGAGGAAGGAGGGAATGCTATATGAAAGGAGGAGGGGGGGAGGAAGGAGGGAATGTTATATGAAAGGAGGAGGGGGGGAGGAGGAAGGAGGGAATGCTATATGAAAGGAGGAGGAGGGGAGGAGGAAGGAGGGAATGCTATATGAAAGGAGGAGGAGGGGAGGAGGAAGGAGGGAATGTTATATGAAAGGAGGAGGAGGGGAGGAGGAAGGAGGGAATGTTATATGAAAGGAGGAGGGGGGGAGGAGGAGGAGGGAGGGAATGCTATATGAAAGGAGGAGGAGGGGAGGAGGAAGGAGGGAATGTTATATGAAAGGAGGAGGAGGGGAGGAGGAAGGAGGGAATGTTATATGAAAGGAGGAGGAGGGGAGGAGGAAGTAGCCACGTGATAACAAGTTGGTTCTGAGACGGTTAGAGACACCTCAAATTCAACTAGTTATCGTTCCACCCCGAGTCCAATCAAGATCCCAGAGTCCAACCCCTGTCCAGTACTCCAATTATCACGTCTTCTGCAGACCAATCCCTGCCCCCTCCCCCCCCCCCCCCCCCCCCCCCCCCCCCCCCCCCCCCCCCCTCCTCCCTCCTTCCACCCCCCCTCCAAACCCTTCCCACAGATACAAACGCGTCACCATATCTGAAAACGACAGGTGTTCAGCACGCGCCAAATCCCGAGTCCAGCACGCCAGCGATCACGCCAGCGATCACGCCAGCGATCACGCCAACGATCACGTCAACGATCACGTCAACGATCACGTCAACGATCACGCCAACGATCACGTCAACGATCACGTCAACGATCACGCCAACGATCACGTCAACGATCACGTCAACGATCACGCCAACGAGCACGCCAACGAGCACGCCAACGATCACGTCAACGATCACGTCAACGAGCACGCCAACGAGCACGCCAACGATCACGTCAACGATCACGTCAACGATCACGCCAACGAGCACGCCAACGAGCACGCCAACGAGCACGCCAACGATCACGTCAACGATCACGCCAACGATCACGTCAACGATCACGTCAACGATCACGTCCTCCCCTGCCCGCCCCTGCCCGGCCATGCCTGCTCCCTACCTTCCCCTCCTTTTCTCCATCCACCCACATCTCTCACCTTGTCGGAAAAGGAAGGGTGTTCCGGCCAAATCCCCGAGTCCAGCACTCCAATAATCACGTCCTCTCCTGCGCGCCCCTGCCCGCCCACGCCCCCCCACATCTTCCCCAGCTTCATATACTTGGGCGTGTACGTCGTAAACGCCCTCACCCCCCCCTTCGCCCTCACCACCTGCCCCACTCCCGGCCGCTTTCTCAGCTCCTCCGCCTGCTGCGCTGTCAAAGACGCACAAACAGCGTTGGCGGTGTAACCGAAGCTGTAGAGTAGGCTCGATTCCGAGGCTCCCACCGAGGCTAGGGCAGACCTGTGCGTGGAGAGCAGATGCTCCTGGTAGGCTTTAACCCCTGGCGAATCGGTTAAGGGCCGGAAGATTTTTCTCTCTCCGCTTCCTCCCCCGCTGCTCCAGTAGCTGCTGCTGCTGCCTGCGCCTGCTGCTCCGGGGTATACAGTGCTCGCGCTGCTGCTTGCACTGGGTGTGCTTATATCGAGCTTGCTGCCTGCGCCGCGTTCAGAAGCGTGCGTTGCAGCGGGGGATGCGGCTTTTGAATCAACGGAACGTTTCACGGCAGCACCATTAACCCCACCGCGAGCAGAAGCAGAAGAAGAGGAAGAGGAGGAGGCAGCAGAACCAACAGCCGTGGGTTTGAGCCCTGGAATTCCCCCAGTGTAAGCCACTACGGGTGGTGCTGAGGTCATGTGAACGAGGTAGAGCTTTTTTTCATCTGTTGCTGCGCTTCGCACTGCACGGCGAGGGGGGAAGAGGGCGGAGAAGAGAAGGGATGATGCTGATGCGGTTCACAGCTACTAGTGGTGGTGCTGAGGTCATGTGAACGAGGTAGAGCTTTCTTTCATTTGTTGCTGAGCCTCGCACTGCGTAGTAAGGGGGAAGGGGATTGGAGAAGAGAGGGGATGATGATGATGCGGTTCACCGCCACTACTGGTGGTGGTGCTGAGGGTATGAGCGCGAGGTGGTGCTGAGGGTATGAGCGCGAGGTGGTGCTGAGGTCATGGGCACGAGGTGGTAGAGCTTCCGCTCTTCTGTTGATGAACCTTACACTGCTCGGCCGAGGGGAGAGGGGGGGAGGAGAGGGGGGAATGTGGGGAGGGATGCAAGCGGTGGTGCTGACGTCATGTGGATGGGAGAGGGGGAACTATGAACTGTTACCGAGTCGTTCAGAAAACCATAGGAAGGAAGGGGATGGGAAGACAGGATTTTGGATGGGAAGCAGGGGAAGGCGAGGAGGGAAGGAGGTATTGAGGGAGGTGAGCCTGATAAAGTCGAGACTGCACAGGTACGAGACTATTGAACAGACCTATTTGAGGAAAGCATTATAATGAAAAGGTTCAGAAATAACGAGGTGAGTGGGTAGATTTACCGGAGGAAGAGCTTATAACGAGGATGAAGAACGATACCCAGTGGTGCATCCTTAAATGCACCTTTCGACGCCTTTTCGAGTTCATCTTCGATTGCACCTTCGAGTGATTTATCTTATAACGCATCAAAGGGCCAATTTCCGTTGTTGGTGATGGTGATGGTGTTTTATTGGCCAGCCTTGTTCTGAGGCGCGTCAAAACCAATTAAGAGGGTCCGAGTGCGTGTGACACGTAGCGGCTGTTTCTTAGCCCATGAAAGTAGCCTGTCAAAGGAGAATAAAATTAACAGTCTGGTTTGATGTTGAGCGAGCTATCAACCATAGAGCGTGACGCTGCTGAATGTTCCTTGTCTCACGCATTACATTTCACGCTCGAGATTGACATAAGCATTACGCCGCACCGCGCCACGTTGGATTTTATCAAACCCAAGTCACACTGGATTCTGGGTGTATAAGCAGCTGAGCAAAACGCAGCCATCTCCATTTGCTACTGACTAAGGTGGGAGACGAGCGGTGTGTGGAGTGCGAACTTCTCAAGCAACCAGTTCGCACCAGGTTCGAGAATTGCTGGCCCAACATTGGATTCATCCGCAACCGTACTGAAAACGTATAAAACATATAGAACCACCTCTCATCCCGTTCAAAACCGAACTTGCGCACGGTCAAGCCTGATCCCCTGCTACAGCACCACGTCTTGGGTGCACGGCACGCCGCATTCCGTAGGGCGCGAGGCAAAATGAGATACTATGAACGAGGAGGCTAGTAACGAGAAGGGGAATGGAATCCACCGACCATTCCCAACGACGAGTCGCGGTGAATTGTTTCAGGGGCGGTGCCGCTCATCGATTAGCCAATAATTTGTTAGTGTAATACAATTCAATATTTCAGCACATTACAAATGATTATGATGTTGCATTCCGGGAACCATCAAGTTGCAAAAAGCCCAGAACGGGAATCTGTGCAACACGTACAGCAGAATACGGTATCTCCTACAAAAGTACTAGACAAATGGAAATAAATACAACGGCTTTTCTGTACAGGGCAAAGACCCTGGTAAACAAAGAGTGAACAAGGATCAGGAGCACACAATAACATGGGCGTTCCTGCACGGAAACAAAGCAACAGGCCACATACCCAGTGCCCACTCATCCCACATCCCTTACCCAGCAGCCCACCACCCACCCGTTCCATCCAACCCCTTCCAATCCAGACACAGAAGCATTCTCCCAAACAACCACGATGCACATTCCATCTACCACTCATTCTTCCTCCCCCTGGAAAGGTACCCACTCCCTTAGCAAAGTCATCCAGATCTCCAGCAGATGCCCACTCTCAGGCATGCTGGGCCAGTAACCCCAACCCCTCACTCATCTGTCACCATCCACCCACCCTCTCACTCCCCTCCATCACTCATTCCTTCTCCCCCTTGGCAGTGGTCCCCACGCCCTTGGCAAAGTCCTCCAGATTCTCCAGCAGATGCACAATCTCAGGCATGCTGGGCCGGTCACTCGCCACGCGCGCCGTGCACAGCAGCCCCAGCTTCACCGCGCCCAGGATCTGGTCAATCTCCCCAGGCTCCAGCTCCATCCGAGGGTCCACAATCGCCGCCGCGCCGTTCGCCTCCGCCCACCTGGCGAGCCCACGTTCCGCCACGTCCTCATCAGTGGGCTGCTTGCCGGTGATCAGCTGCAGCAGCATCACTCCGTACGCGAACACGTCACTCTTGAAGGAAAGTCGGCCCTGGCGGGTATACTCCGGTGCAAGATACCCAATGGTTCCAAACACCTTGGTCGACATGTGCGACTGCTTCACGTCAATCTCCCTCGCGAGCCCGAAATCAGCGACATGAGCCACCATCTGATCATCCAGCAGCACATTACCCGGCTTCATATCACGATGGATAATCCTGGGTGTGCAGTCATGGTGCAGGTACTTCATCCCACGCGCGGTATCCAGCGCCACATTCCGCCTCACCGACCACTTGCAGAAGGGAGAATCCTTCGGAAGCTCCTTCATGAAGATGGAATCCACACTGCCGCCCGAGAGGAAGTCGTAGATGAGCAGGCGCTCCGTGGACTGCCCGGGGGCGATGTAGGCCGCCACGAGGACGACGAGGTTGCGGTGGCGGATGTTGCCGAGGGTCTCCATCTCCGCTTGGAACTCGCGGTTGCCCTGCGTGCTCTGCGCTGCCAGCCGCTTGATGGCCACCGACCGGCCGTCCTGGAGAGACGCCCTGTTTTGTGAAGAAGGGATGGTGAGGGGGGGTGGGATGGGAGGGGTAGATGCGGAAACAGGACAGCGGAAGGATGAGAATGAGGCTCGAGGCAACTGTGTCGAAAGACGCCCTGTTTGTGGCTGAGAGAAGAGGAGGAAGGAAAGAGAAGGACGCACAAAGGGAAATCACTGCAGCCTCCATTGGATCACCTACTGACTCAAGAAACAGCAAGTTTCACAGCATCTCACAATAAGTAGTGCTCTCTCTGCGCCTCTGCCTCTAACCAACAGGTTCTTAGGTGCCACAACAATCCCTCAACCCTCAGTCCATTCCCCTTTACAAGCACAAAAACAACAGAAAAACAGCAACATACTTGTAGACGGTACCGAAGCCGCCTCGGCCGAGCTTGTACTTGTCACTGAAGAACTCCGTGGCCTCCAGGATGTGCCCCACCGTGAGCTTGAAGTCCAGCTTCTCAAACACCAGCATCGTACCGCCCGACCACGGGTCGTTCCTCCGGGAGAACCACCACGCCGCCACCGCAATCAGCACCAGACCCACCACCGCTCCCACCACGATTCCTGCAATCGCGCCCGCGGACAGGCTGTTGGGCGTCGGGCATTCCGGGTAGCCGGGCATGCCGCAGAGACCTTGATTCCCGCTGAGGGTCGCGGGGTTCGCGGAGGCGAAGTAGCCGGAGCTGCCGCCGGGAATGGCGCCGGACAGCTCGTTCTGAGAGACGTCCAGGTAGAATGACGATGACACGTTGGCGAATCCGTACGGGATAGGTCCCGTGAAGTCGTTGTTTGATAGGTCCAAGGAAGTGAGGAACGCCAGGTGGCGCGAGGACGGCTGCGGAGCGATTTCTGGCGGAATGGTTCCCGAAAGCTGGTTACGCTCCATGGCGATGGAAGTGGCTGCTGTGAGGTTTCCGATCTGCGCTGGTAGCTGGCCGCTCAGCTGGTTACCAGACAGGTCGAGCTTTCGCAGGTTGACGAGATCGCCGACGGTGGACGGGACGGGTCCTTGGAAGCGGGAGTTGGAGAGATCGAGGGCGGAGATGTAGACGAAGTTGTTGAGTGCTTCTGGGAGATTGCCGGAGAGAGAAGTGCTGGAAAGATTCACTTGGATTACGCTGAAACCTTCGCCCATGTTCGTGAACCCTTCGTTGAGATCGCCGGTGATTTCGAGACCCGAGAGATCCAGCTCCTGCAGCGCTGTGCAGTTCCCGAGGAGGCTCGGCAGCTTGCCAGTGAACTTGTTGAGTCCGAGGCGCAACGTTTGGAGGAGGAAGTTACCGTTGCCGAGGCAGCTGATAGGCATGGGAACATCTCCCGTGAAGGAATTGTTGGTCAGATCCAGAACAGCCAATGACTGGCTCTGAGCAATCCCGGCGGGAACGGGTCCGGAGAACTGGTTGTGGCTGAGATCGATCTGGCTCATGTTGCAATTCTCGAGGAATCGGTCCGGAAGCACGCCTGACATGCGATTCGTCGACACGTTGAGAGCCGTGGGAACCATGTTGGCGAGTGCCCCGGTGCACTGAATCAGCGGTAGGGTTCCCGTCAGCTGGTTGCTGTCCGCGTCGAACTGCGTCAGCGTCGGAAGCTGGAAAATCTGCGGTGGGATCACGCCGGTGAGCTGGTTCTCGGAGAGAATGAT